CGCCTAATCTCCCCAAACGTCACCCTGTAGGGAGGTGTTGGTCATGGTGATGCGCAAGCACCAGCGCTACTTCCCCGTCTTCTCCCCCTCCGGCGCCCTCCTTCCCGCCTTTGTGACCGTCGCCAACGGCCCCATCGACGCCGCGGCCGTCGCGGCGGGCAACGAGGCGGTGCTGCGGGCGCGGTTCGAGGACGCTTCCTTCTTCTACAAGGAGGACCTGCGGCAGCCCCTGGAGGAGTTCAGGTGAGACGGAGGTTCGATCCCGCATGGTTTCACACATGTTTCTGACCTTGTGTGGTCTTCACATGATTTCAGACGTAATTTTTTACAACTTACTCAATTTGTTTGCAATCACAACACGTTGTGCTTTTATTTGATTTGCACAGGGAGTAGCCTTGCAGCGAATGTTTTGGGCTTGATGGTATCTGGGAGGGCAGGGCCGGGCGGGTAGCACCACTCGGGGGTGTGCGGCCCCAGGACATCCAACAAAAGGGTGCAGGGGCTGTCACACGGCCGGCACTGGCAACCGTGGCCGCTACAGAGGGCATTTGATTTGCACCCCCCCCCCCGTCCGCCATGGTTGCGAGAGCAGGGGCAGGCAAACAGACTCTGCATTGTGGCCGTCCCCCAAAATCTTGCCCTCCAGACATGCACTGTTACACGGCGCCTCGTGCGGCGTCCCCAACGATGCAGCCCCCCCCCCACTGCGTCCTGCCCGCACCAGAACCCTGGGTACACACATGCACAGGTGAACACGCCAGCACACACAGTTGCACCCTGGCAAACCCCCGCTGCCGCACGCCACGTCATCAACACCCCCACAGGCCCAAGCTCAAGGGCACCCTCTTCCAGAAAGACCTGGGCACCCTGCTGGACAAGTCTGACCGCGTCGTGTCCATCACCGCCCCCCTGGCCGACGCCATGGGCCTCGGCGCCGCTAAGGGCGTAGCTGTGGAGGCGGCGCGGCTGGCCAAGGCTGACCTGGCGACGTCAACGGTCATGGAGATGACGGCGCTGGCGGGCACCATGGGCAGGTGGGCTGGGTGGCTGGGGCGCTGGTTGGGGGTGCAGCTGCGTGGGTGAGGGAGGCAGCCTGGGCAGGGTGCCGGCTGGAGTGGACGCAGGGCGAGGCTGGCGGGCCTGCCCGCAGGGCGCGCGCCCGTCGCTCAGCCGCAGCCGCGGAGCGACTCTCTGTCCGCTAGCGGGGCCGGTGGGCCGCGCCACTTCTTGCCCTCTGCTTGCTTTCGGCCCCGCCCCCTAAAACCGCCCAGCCACAACCGCCCTGCAATGTCCCCTCCTCATTCCCCCGCCTGCGGTCCCACAGGCACTACGCTTTGAAGCAGGGGCTGCAGCCGGAGGTGGCGGAGGCCATCTTTGAGGCGGCCCTGCCGCGCCAGGCGGGCGACAAGCTGCCGGCCAGGTTGGTTGAGTGCGGGTGCAGGGCCGGTTGGGTTCAGTCGCCCTCTGGGCCAAGGGCGTGCCCTGCGCCAATCAGTCGTGCCGCGTGCGTGTTCGCTGTGAGTCCGGCGTCGACCTTGGCTTGTTGCTGGCCTTAACTCTGCTGCAGCGGCGGGGGCTGGGCCCCCCCTTGCAGCCCTGTCTGCTGGATGCCCGCGCGAGATGTCTTGACTGCCGATTGGGTGTCTCATCAAAACCTGCTCCCCTAGCCTCGCCCCCCTCATCTCCTAGGCCGCCCCGTCCTCCACCTCTATCCCTGCACAACCCTGACGCACATCCTCTCGACGCACCCCTCATTTCCCTCAAATCTGGGTCTGCTGCGGCCGCGGCCGCCCTCTGCCCCCCACACCAACTCTTGATTTTTCCTACCCCTGCCCCACCCGAATGTCAACTCATCCTCTGCCGCAGCCCCGCGGGCATTGTGGTGGCGGTGGCGGATCGCCTTGACTCATTGGTCGGGCTGGTGGCGGCGGTGGGGGCGCCCTCGGCCACGGCAGACCCCTACGGCCTGCGCCGCGCCGCCTACGGCATGCTGCAGGTGCGGGCCTGCGGCAGCGGGCCCAGCCGCCATGCGCCGCCCGTGCGCCGGTTGCGCTCGTGCGTCCAGCCACGCAGCGCGGCCAGCAAAGGCTCCGCCACGCCAGCAACATCAGGGCCGCTGTACGCGTACACCTCCGACAGCTGGGGTCTGATCCCTCCCTGCCAAACCAACAACTAACAAACCCTTCACATGGGCTCCTTCTGCAGGCTCTGGTGTCGAACAACGTGCAGCTGAGCCTCTCCTCGGCGGTTTCGCTGGCAGCTGCCGCGCAGCCCGTGAAGGTGGACGCCAAGGCGCAGGCGGCGGTGCTGGACTTTGTGGGGCGGCGCCTGGAGCAGCTGCTGGTGGACGCTGGGGTTCCCGCTGAGGCCGGTGAGTCATCATGATTTGTCACCGCACGCGTGCGTGTGTCTTTGTGAGGTTCAGTGTATGTGCGCATGATTGAGGGCGCACATCTGCTGTCTGTGTGTGTGTGTGTGTGTGTGTGTGTGTGTGTGTGTGTGTGTGTGCGCGCGCGTTCGTGTACGCGTGCGTGCGCGTGCGGGCGCGCGCGGGCGTGCGCGTGTGTGTCCAGGCTTTCGTCCTGGTGGCGCTGCGGTGCTCGCTGATTATAACCCCTCCAACAATGCACATCTACGAGATCTGACCGGCCCTCGGGACGCTGCTGACAAAGGATCGCGAGTATGAGAGCACACATAGACTCTGAGCAGCCCGTGCTTGCGACTGTATGCGTGTGTGTGTGTGTGTGTGTGTGTGTGTGTGTGTGTGTGTGTGTGTGTGTGTGTGCACGCGTGCGTGCGTGCGTGCGCGTGCAGATGCGCGCTTGTGCATGTGGACACGCACCGTGTCCCACATATATTGAGTGCGCACTGTGCTCCTAAGATGTCTATCTTATACCCGGCCTCATGCCTTCAAGCCGGCGGCAGCGCCGCTCATGCCGACGCAACTCCAGTCACCCTTGACTACCCCCATGCCGCCCACCTCGCAGCACGCCTTTGTGCACCCCTCCTTCCCCGTCCCCAACCCC